ACGACGACTGGAAACGGGTTCGCTCGGCAGTCACGCCGGCGTTCACGTCGAGTAAAATGCGGGCAATGATGGACTCAATCGCAGACATTTGCGACACGTTTTGCGATAATCTGAGCGAATTTAATACAAAAGGTATTTTTATAACACTGTATATACCGGGATGTGCTAAATTGACCTCTACTTTGAGCCATTCACCCACTATTACAAGGAAACAGCTAAGCATAATATGTATTCTATTTAGGGAACCTAACCAAGGTAAGCTGTTAATAAGTTAGGTTAGGCAATGTGAGCCTACCAATGTAGTGGGATCAGCCAAGGTAGTAAGAAATACAGTAGTTTGACATAATATGACCTTATAAGAATTGAATGATAATAATACTTATTCCGGTTAGACTATTAAATAAATAGTCAAACTAATGTATTAAGACAGTTAAAATTATGGGACAATGAAACATTTAATAGAATTCAATAATAGAAATAATAAACAATCTAATTTATTTGTGAATTTCAACTAGGTGAGCCGATAGATATGCGCAGATACTTAGGTGCATTAACTATGGACGTGATCTGCAGCTGCGCCTATGGTATAAACTCGGAGTCCATTAACTTGCGGCGACCATCTATTCATCCCATTGTGGCCAACGTTAAGAAAATACAGGGCGTGGACGCAAGTGTGAGCATGCTCACTTCCGTGTTAGCACCCGGGGTAGCCAAAATGTTACGCTTAGAGCTGTTTGACAAAAATGCACTCAACTATTTCGATGAACTCACCAATCAAATAATGAATGAGAGAAAAACCATAAATAAACAAATCGCCGATAAGTGTATGTATCAATTATTAAGGTTGAAAGTCTAATTTATTTATCAGAGAAATTAATTTTTAAAATTAAATTTTATATGATTTATAAAATTATTTTTTATTTCTATACAAAGTAAGGCTTAGTTTGAGGTTAAACTATTAGCTGTCAATTAAATAAATGCCCTTTATTTAAACATTTTAAAAATGTTATATGATAGGTGAATTGATTGATTGTCAAGTATATAATTGTATTAAAACTCTTCGGAACAACTAGGTCATATACTGAATAAACTGTATAAAATAAACTAATAAATATTATTCACATATTTATAGCCAATCTTCGCACAGATTTCATGCAATTGATGATAAACTCAGAAAAATCGGACAAAGACTTCGGATACGACTCGACCAGCGAAGGGGATCCGGATGTGTCGACCAAACATCCGACCAGAAGGCCTACGAGTCAACTGACACCGGACGAGATCACAGCGCAAGGCATCGCCTTTTTTATCGGCGGCTATGACACCACCAGTGCTGCCCTAACCCACGCCATATACTACCTGTCCCTTCACCCGGAATGTCAGCAGATATTGTATAAAGAGTTGAAAACGTGCGACGATTTTACTTACGAAAAGTTGGGTCACTTGAAGTACTTGAATGCAGTGATCAATGAGACCCTACGTCTGGCCCCACCCCTAACCCGTTTCCAACGCCAGTGCCTACAGGACTACAAATTAGGAAATACAGGTAAATGGAGGCAAAATTTGTCATAGTACATTTTAATATTTAGTATAAAGTACATATCCTCTTTTGGCATTATTTCCAAACAAATTATTTAAAAATATTGTTTTTATAATAAGGCATAACTGTACCAAAGGGCACGTCCATCGAGATATATACTTACGCTTTACACCGGGACCCTGAGTACTGGCCCAACCCTAACGACTTCATACCCGACCGGTGGTTTGAACCGACACACCATCCCTACGCCTATATACCATTTGGAAGCGGACCCCGACTATGCGTCGGACAACGGTTTGCAATAAACGAGATGCGAATGTGTTTGGCCATGCTCATAAATAGATTCGAGTTTACCCTGGCTCAAAAACCGCAATTGGACTACTTCATATGCAACACGTTAATGTCGCCGAAAAATTTGCTGGTCACTCTTGAATCCAGAGAGTAATACATTTCTATACATGATATCTATATTACATGTTATCATTTTTAATATTATCTTTTTTACTTAAATATTTAAGCTGTAACATTTTCAATACAACTCAATTTTTAGGTTGTTTGACAGATACCTCATAATATTATTTATATAATATATATAATATTATTATACTATATAGCATAGACGTTCAAAATTTAAAAAATCCCCAAATTAGTGTTTTATAATAATATTAAAATTTTTAACTATTCAAAACACTAATATTTCCTGATTTAAATGTGACTAAGATTTGTATTGAAAACATTTTTATTTATTAAACAAAAAATGATATATAAATGATTAAAATACAAATTCGTAAGAGACATACAATAAAAATATTTGAGAAAGTAAGTCATATATGAAAAACTAAGTAAAATTCATGAGTATTTAACTAAATACTACCTTAATCTTTAATCTATACTATAAACTTTAAAATACTAGTGTTGTGTATACTCAGCCTAAATAATAATATATTGTAAATGCATACATCACTAGTTGGTTTCTGGAAACCATATCTGTGCGTCTAAG